TTTTTTTTTGTCGTCCAAGTCTTTGGTTTCGTTTGTTTTTTTCATAGTTTTTCGAGAACGTTTCTGGTTTGGTTTCTCTCGCTATTCTTTTTTCGGTTTCTATATAACAAATCCGGTACTTTTTTGTGCAAGCACCTTTTTGTGTCTCGCCAATAACATCTGAGCTCAGATCAGGGATAAAAAAGTATAACGTTAAAGGGCCATACGCAGACATGTGATGCTCTGTACATGCATATTTTATCTAAATCGAACTCAATTATGTGTGACAGATTTCCCTTTTATAAAAAAACAACAGAAAAGTAAAGCCTTTAAAAGTACAATATAATAATGATGTATTTAAATTAGTTCAATGTTTTGTATACTTTTAAAGCCACTGGCCGAACTTATTTAGTTAAGAAAAGAAACTATTTTTCCCACCCGTTTAAATGATGGTACGCTCATACCTCCTTGCTTTTTACATAATTCTGTCTTCATAAATAGTTTCATTTAAATCGATCGAGTAGTTTTAAAAGTAAAGCCTATCTATATCTGTATGGATCATTAAAAATAACACCCTCACAATGTGAAAGAAAGGTCACAAACTCTTCTGGCATTGGACTTTGTGTTGATTTCTAAGATTTAAAAACTTTGGAAGTACTTGGCGCTTGCTTTTTGAATTTCTTTTTTATCGCACATTTTAACACATAAGCTTGGGAAAACTCTTTAGAATTTTCGTCAAATTTAATAATAAAAGCTTACTTTAAATATCTGCTAAAGCACCGAATATACTACCAATGTCGTATGATTTGTATATATTCTTTGTTGTGTCTCTACATGACTTTCTTTTTCTCTCTCTTTAATCTTTATTTAAAATCTGTCCAAGCTAGGACAATTATAAAATAATCTTTCAATTTGTTAAATCATGCGTTCGTTCGTTATGTTTCTCAAATCAAGATTGTTTTCATGACTTAAAAATAACCAAAAATATTGATATTGTAAACACTTTTTGAATTGGACAAAAATATACTGGCATAGTTGAAGAATTTTTGAGTAACTGAAGGATGTCCATAAAAAGATAGATTATTTTTCTAGCCGCAAATAAAACCGACATAACTTCCACATACTCGTATTTCGAAATACATGTTTATCAAAATGAATAAGTGACTTGAAACTTTACTTATGGCCAGCTAAGCACTTGATGGATTCAAGTCTGCACTGATTTGCCAATATTTTACATTTTACGTACACTTTGCCTGCTGACAAGCAAGAAAGTAATGTCTGGCTTTAATTTTTATCAAATTGGTAGATAAAACACAAGCATGCCGCTTGCAGCCACTGCAGCAGTGTCTAAGCCCAAAGCACTTATCCACATTGAGAACGAAAACGACGACGACCCCACCTTTTGGGGTCCTTTGAGAGCTACGCAAGTGCAGGCCAAAAATTGTCTGCATCAATGGCTCAATTGCAATGCCCGCAGAGCCAGTGTCGAAGACCTACAAAGTGAGTGGAAAGGGGCCTGGGGGGTGGAGAGTTGCCATGACTGCTGCTGGCTAGCACTTCAATGATTTGCTAGCACTTTTGGCGTCAATCGTTGCTCAATAAATCACGAAATGGCGCTGCCACTGTTGCCTTCACCATCGACTATGTTGGCTCAAACATTCAAGTGCTTGCTTGGCAAGGCAGCAAGTTCATCACTCTATGTGTTTGTGTGTGTGTGTTACACTTCCGTTTCCTGCATACTCACACACACGCACACACCTCACACTCACAGCAGAGCTTAAGCAAACATTCACGCAGACGCACAGACGGCACGCAAATTGAGACAAGGACGTTGTGTTGATTGTTTGACGTGACGCCTGCGAAAAATACAAAATTATTCGTTTACGTTTGTTATTGCTTTGCTTTCAGCCCAGTGTTCGCTTCTTCATCTCCCCACATTGCTGTCACTTCGAATATACCGCGTACACTTTGAAATTTTTGAGATAAAAACACAGTCTGCAAAATGTGTTCCTCTGAAAGCATACTTGCAGAATCAGGTCCAGATACTAGGTCAACAAAAAAACCCACTCCATGTTTTCCATAGTAGATTACAGGAACCATTGACTTTGGTTTCATTCAAACTACAATTTGGCATGGTTTACAAAAGTGAAAATATTTGAACAAGCTCTTCACAGAAACTCCCGATTTAAAATACAGGAAATACTCTGAAGCCTCCATGGATAACGAACGTCTATTAAGCGATGCTCTGTTAAGTGTTAGGAATTATTATTCTGATACGAAAAGTGATGCAAAGTATGAGACAATTTGGGAAAACGCTAAGGAAAATGTGTGGTGGAAAGTGCCCTTATGTCTTCTTGTTTCCGGTTGCATTTTACTTTTTATTATATCAGGCTGCATGTTGGGCCAAGCATTGGTAAGAAAAATCCAAAATGCGAACTTCTCACAACGTATTGCTTTCGATATTTGTGATGTTGAGATTCCGCCGTCAGGCAAATCGCGTTCTCATCACGATGAGTGCGAAAAGGAAACACCGAACAACACGTGCTGTTCCTGTTGCTCAGGAAAGAAAGAGTCCACAAACAAATCAAAACGTCCTGCCAACAACCACAACAATACATGCAATTGTCATGACAATAGACCACGCTCACAAAATATGTGATCTATATTCTTATTCAAACTAAATTTGTAAACAAAATAAATAAAAATTACAAAATTTCGTTTATATACGAGTATGTATGTTTAATTATGGTGGCTCTGGTAGGACATGATTTCCGAATTGCTACCACTAGCTATATACTTGTATGTAGCTGTTTTCTTATTTTATAACTATTAGAAGCTCCCTTTTTCTACGACATATGTCATAGTCCAGCACTGTCGTATCCGATTTTGTTTTTGAAGGCGTATGCTCTTTACTGTTAAGACGAGAATTCTCACAAATGTTTTGCTTTGCGTGCCCGGCTGATTAATTATATACCTTGCGAATAGCAATAGCTATCAATTCCAATATGATTCCAATAGATTTTTCCCATTTCATTGAACACAATTTTCACTCAATTGCGGGTTGAATTTTTCCACATTTCTGTGCATTACAAGTACGTTACTTTTTCCCGAAGAGGTCTAGTTTGGTCCTTGGGCAGGTCTAGTTTAAGAATTGGACACGCATGACTCTAGCAATCCATTCTTGTTTCTTATTAGGATGATTTCTTGTTTATGATTTAAATATCTTAAGAAAATATAACCTTTTGAAGTTTCATCCACATTTTTCCACTGTATTATAAAAGAAGGATTGCTGCATAATTCGAGCTGTGAAGCAAATAGTTTGAAATTTTTTAAGACATGTGTCTTAAACACTACTTTAACCCTTTAAATATCAAATACTAACAAAATCTAAATCATGTTATGAGTTTTAAAGAGCTTTGGTTTTGCTTTAGTGAAAAAGAATTTTGTTGAGTGTAGAAACAAACTATTTTCCCTTGTATAGTAAGTATAGTACATGCTTGGGGCATAGTTTTGCTTTATTGCGCTGCCACAAAATTCCGTTCGAGCCGCGTGTGATAAGTGCCAGCAGGCAACAACAACAACGACAAGAAGAGCAGCAAAAGTGACAGTAACAGCCACAGCTGGAGGGGCAGCATCAGCATCAGCAATCGAAAGAAAATCCAGCAGGCATCACCAGAAACTCGAATAGTGTGGCTGTTGCTTTGATAAGACAGTGAGGCGCAAAACTTTACACGATATTGCACTTAAGATACAAGTATGCGCTTTGTGATTTTTGCCCATTCGAAAAAATTTCTTACTTCTATCTATTACATATTTCATTTTGATCTTATTTTCTTATTCTTTTTTTTCTTCTTATTTTATGCTTTCATTTTGGGGTTGATTGCTGCGGCTTTTACTGCTGGTGTTAAATTATCTGTGCCAGCAATCAATGCTTTATAAATTTGAAATGCTTATTTCTGTAGACAAGACATTGAATGGCCTTTATTTATGTGCAATTTAACTTTGTTGACAAATTCCAAGGAATAAGCAAAAGTCTATGAGCTTTGACATTTTGGTCGCAATCATGGTTGAGGACCACTTTAAGAGTCTGGGCAACATACTTATATCGCTGTTTGTCCTTGGAATCAATACACAACACGTTACGAAAAAGCTTTTCGTGAGTTAACAAATGTGTGTTTACAACAACTTGAAGTTGTGGGCGGGAATTATTAATTCTCCTATTGTTATGCGACCGATGATGTTGATGCCATCGATGATGTCACGAGCATAAATGAATGTAAGAGTCAAATGGTTGTCTATCACAAGCTCTCAATATCTTTTTAAGTCGATTAATTTCCCTAAATGCGTCAACACGATACGATAGAACAAAATTTTTAATTAAATTCGAATATCTTAAGGTACAATGAGCTATTTACAGTAAGATTGGATTTCCATTCTCAGTTCGTTGAGACTCGAGAGTTAGCTTTCATTTGATAAGTTTAGTTCTTTTAATAACTTAGAAATTAATGTTTTCCATTAAAAAATATTCGAATTCTTAGACATGTTTTCCATTTAAATATTCAAAATCTTAGGCATGACTATATCTTAAATGATTTTATATGAAAATTAAAATATTTTTGTGTTTTCCGTTGAAATATTAGAAATTAAAAGCAACAAAATTTAGCATCAATTTTACGAATCAAGACAGTCAAAAATAAATGAAAATAAGTTCGAAATCTAAAATATTCAACAAATAAAATAGCTTCAAATAGAATATTTTTCAGAGTTATATATCCTTCATTGCATATGTTTAGTTATCATAAAGGTACAAAACTAAAATGATTTAAATTAAATATCTTAGAAATTAATGTAATCTATTTAAATATTTAAAATATTAGGCATGCCTACAGCTAAAATTATTTTATTTGAAAATCTTAGAAATTAATTCTCGAAATATTCAAAATCTTAGGCATGTCCAAATCAAGACAAATATACAGTCAAACAAAAACCAGTTCAAAAAATACAATCATTCAGCAATTGAATTAGCTTCAAATATACTATTTTTAACCGATTTCATTCAATAACAATACGATTTTTCTGTCCATATATTTTTCGTTACATTAATGCTACTGCCACTCTGACATTAATCCAATTTGTTAATCATACATTCAATTCTACGGGGATGTCACGCCTGTAATGAACACAGATTAACCTTATTCCTTGTCCTTTCCTTAAGGATGACAATGTCTTACCTGATTTTCCATTCACCGTTTTATGGGGTGTCCAATCTAAACAGTCCAAGTCGACCGTTAACACGGGACGTTTAAGTTGTGGCAACTGTAGATAATTGTTGATGGTTCTGGTCGTCACACAGACAACTTGCTGACCCTTCCAGTATTTAATCATTCGCATCGATTGAAGCGTATAGATGATATCGTCTGTTGCAATCCCACTTAGTTTATTCAGCGCCTTGATGCTCAGCGAGGAAGTGCTGAGGTCACTCATCAACTCTAGCAAAGTGTAGGCCCAATAACTGCGATAGCTGAGCCGTCCAAGATCGGAGAGTGGTTTCTCGGGACTACCAATGATTCCCTCCTTACGCGACAATGTATAACTGAAGGCGATTAAGAACTTGCCATAGCCCTTGCGTTGATATGGCGGCAATACCAATATACAGGCCACGTTATTGTTCGCCAGCGATTCTTTCTCTTTGGAGAAATAGCCCACAATCTGACATCCTTCCTTGGCGATTTCGCACAGCACATAGAAATAGAATACCTTGGTGTCATAGAACAGAACCTTGTGGTCCAAAAAAAGTTTTGCCAGCAAGCATAGTAGCTGACAATACAGTGGCTCCTCATTGCCGTCCACCTCAAACACTGATATGATGCCCTTACGGTAGATTTCGCGTCCAGGTGGCTTCTGAACTTTACAGTCCTTTAAATGGCCCGTAAAGCTCTTCAGTAGTCGCATATATTTCAGACAATATTGGCAGACAAAGAGCTTGCGCGCCTTGCCATACTCGTCGGGATAGGGACTGAAATACCAGGTGTCGATTTCAAATTGTCCGAACTGAATTTTTTCAATATACTTGATTTTTGTGATGGACTCGTGTTCCTTCTCATATGCGGCCAATGGGGCGCTCAACTCTTCGTGGCTCTTCTGGACGTGATTAATCTCGTCGTAGCGTCGTTTCTGGTAGCGTGTCATTTTCCGATCGCTCGGACTGCCTGGTGCATCGATATTGTGAGGATCGTTCAACTTACGAGTAACTGCTTGAATGGTGTCGGCTTGCTCGCCATCTGGCTGGCTGAGCACAGTGATGCCACCCAAGTCATCAGCATTCTCGGAAACGCAATGACAGGGAACCCATTCATCCAGGCGTCGATTGAGGCCAACATAGTGTACGTAATATTCGATTGGTGCGAACGCCTTTTCGCCGCCACGCTGCTGGAGCACGTGTCCAGGTAAGATGGCGCCATCACTCCGACGTATATAGCAAATCTTTTCCGGCTGATCGTTGCTATCGATCAGCTGCATTGACTGCGCGCTCACGACTGCTTTCGTCTTGGGCTCTTCCGTTTTTATCTCAACAGTTCCCTGCGCCATTAGCGATTGAATGTGAGAATGTGCGGTCAAATTTTTGATATCTTCTCCATATTCTTCTTGCTTCACAACTTTGTTAGGTCCAGCGGCCTCGCTTTCAGTCGAATTTACGGCATCAACATGCTTACCATATATTGTCGATCGGCCAATAGCTGGCCTAGCATTAAGCTTTGCTGCCGCATCTTGCAATGGTCTGCGCGATCGTATTCCAATCATATAATTATCTGACATTCTGCATATAATTAATAAAATTTGTTACAGCTGAAGCAAGGCGTTTTACTCAAATCTTATCAATTGTAAAAAGCTTATGCAATGCATGCAGTGCTGGAAATGGGCTGTAGAATAGTGTTGGGTTGTGCTAAACGACTAAACAGAGTTACTCAATGAACTACTAAACAGAACCTGTCTTAACGTCTTTTTAAGATAAAAGCTTAGCGAAAAGAATATTGCAAGTATAAAATAGATAATAAAAAGAAACACATTGCAAACATATCAATTTCAAATTATCATAAAATTAAATAATTGTCCTAACCTAGAACAGATCTTAAATAGAGATTAAATAAAGATTAGAGAGAAAAAAATTTAATCCGTTTGTATTAAACTAAATTTCTTTAGAGAACTAAGTATTTCCTTGAAACTAATGAGAGTAGCAGCGATGGTTCGACTCACTATCATTAGAATGAAGAGTGAACAAGTTCTCGAACAAGAATTGCTGAGCACGAATTGCTCAACACTGGTAACACATGTAGCTACTTTCGATAGCAGCGATAGCGATACAATGTAATCGAAGTTGCTTTAGAAACGTGCTCGTTTGCTCCTTCCCCATCAAATTATTATCGAACACGATTTTTCTGTTTAAACAGTTTATACAGCGAAACTCATTTTGAATTTGGAAAAATTTGTAGTCGAACGAGTTTCTAGAATACTTTAAATTTTTTGTATATATTTTTTTAAAATAAAAATTAAATTTTAATTAAAACATTTCCTCATTAAAATGCTCAATTTGTGTATCTTACTGTTTTCTTAAACCTATTTACTAGCTATGTGTAGCAGATATTTTTGCATTTATAAAACTCAATGTTGAGCCAAAGATTTGGCTTCTTGTCGAGATTTGAAGGCTCTAAAAAGCTTAAATTGTTTTGAAATTTTAATAACTTCGAAACTATCTAATAGTATATACTACGTTGAACTACATTTGTGTAGACATTAACTTTCACAGTAAGAGTCCTTAGAAATGTAATGAAATTATCAGAGTCTTCAAATGAAATTATATTTTGAAGTATTGTACAAACATACCTTTTTGCTCAATCCACAAGAAATGTGTACCAAACTCTCTTCATAGCTCCACTCCGTTCACTGCCTCAGCAAACAGGCCTTCAATGCCAATATTTGTCAAGACTGGAACACCAAAAACGGCCCCTTTCGGCCCTGTTCTCTAATGTCAAATGTGGACAATATTTAACTGCCGCCCACCTTTATTTGCTCAGCAAATATTTAACTTTTGAATTTCAAAGGCGACGCCCACGCGACTCCAATCTGGGCAGACGGCACAAATGTCGCACGGCATATCAGGTTACATACTTAGATATACATAGATTTTGAATTTCGGGTGGCCGCACAATCTCTGCCCAATCCCAACTCCTTGACCGCATTCAAGCCTAATAAAAAAAAAACCAAAAATGAAAGGAAAGAGGGGGCGATGCGATGTTCAACTGTAACTTTGGAAGCAACCGCTCTCATGTGTTGCCACAATTTGTTTACTTAGTCGGTTTTTTTGTTTTTGTTGTTGTTGTTGTTGTTGCGCGCTACCGCGCATCCAAAATTGAATTTTAACTCGGTTGACACCCCACCATGCCCCGCCAGCATTTGTGCGACCGACGCACTCATGTGAATTTTAGATGGCGCACAAAATGGCAAACACTGGAGTGCGCCGTTTGGCCAACAGGCCTGCGCCTCTTTTCCATGCTCTTTGCTTTCCTTTCACACTTTCGATCTGCCTCTACCGGCTACCGGCTACCGGCTGCCGGCTATCCTCAATCCGCTCGCCCTGCCTTTGTATCTAAGCATTGCGATGGCGTTGATAACGTTATCCATTAGTTTCCGCTGCGCGCACAGCCCTGCTGGCCACTTTAGGCCAAAACGTTGTCGGGGAAAGGGCCAACATTCAACTGGCTGAAAAGTTAGCTTCCGCGTAAAGTGCTTGTGTTTGGTTTTGCGTTTCGCGTTTCTTTTTGTCGCATTCCCTTTTTTTTTTTTGTCGAAATGATTTTTAAATGCAATCTCTTAAGTGCTTTTTGGTGGCTGCGACTTTTAATGGCATTCGGTTTGGTGGCCGCTTGGCCGCAATTAAAATGCCGCATCAAACCGCTAGCCCAGCCACTCCGCAGCCCACCGAATCAACCAATACTCGTATGTAGTCGTTGCTGTTGCACAAATTAAATGCCAATTTCCGTTACAACTTTCCATTGCGGCAACAACAGCAACAATGCTGTTGCAGCAATTTCACGCACGCATTGCGTCAATTTAATTGAAAATATTGCCGAAAATTGTAGAAACCCCAGCGCCCTCAGCCACCCCATCCTCAGTCCATCATCCTGCTCCGGCATTTCTGCGCTTCTTTTAATTTTTCATGTAGAAAACTTCAAATAAAGAAATGAAATAAATACAATTTTATTGCCACTTTTTCGGGTTTGTTTGTGCATTTTGTTGCTAGTATGCTTGCTATCGTTGTTGCTGTTGCTGTTGATGTTATTGTTGTTACTGCTGCTTGGATCGCACTGCCAACAGCAGCAGCGATTGTGGTTGCTCCTGCTGCATTGGCGCATTCAATGAATTTTTTGGCCATAATAAATTTTGTGCTCTTGTACTTTTCAGCATTTCGTTCTTGTTGTCTTTTTCCTTTCTTCCTCGACCGGACGGATGGCCGAATGGACGGATGGTTGGCAATCGCAGAGCGGGCCGCGCGTTTATTTTTCGCAAATTTATTTATATTGTTTGCCAACATGTTTGTTAAATATAATAAATTTTATTTATTTTGTTGGTTGTAAATTTGGTAATTTAACAAAATTTATGAAAACAGTTGCGCAAATGAGTTTCTGCCTGCTTCGATGTTTGCGGGTGGGTGTGGCCGATAGCTTGTGCGTTTGTGTTTTTGTTTGTGAGTGTTCAACAGTGCGTATGTGTAATGTGCCACATGGCCTGACTAATGGGAAAAACTCTTTTTTAATTGAGTGACGTTTATGTGTTCGAAAATGTTAAATGTTTTTTAATTTCAATAATTTACTGGGTTTCGCTGGGCTTATGGCTCTTTAAAAATCTAATTATGCATAGATATTGGGTTTTATTGTTAATAATAATTAAACATTTACGCTTTAACCTTATCGCACCGCAGACAAAACTTGAGCTCTAATATCATTTCTAAAAATAAAAATTTTAAAAAAAAAATCAAATTTCTTCCAAAAATATACAAACAACGTCTACGCGAAAAAGTTTTGGTTTTGCTGCCACGGCGATGTTGACATGAAATATGAATATGGTTAAAAAATAAAAAGCTGATATTAGAATGAAAAACTAAATTTTTATGATTATTATTTAGAACTGTTGTGAAATTTCTTTATGCTTACTTGGGGAAATAATATTATATTTAAGATGCAATATTAATAATATTTGTTAAAGCAATATTTTATTGTTGAAGAGAGAATTGATTTAATTTGTGAAAATAAGAAGTTTCAATTTCTGATTAAATCTAATTATATTTCCAATGCAATTTAACTGAACTTGCAATCTTAACAAATTTTAAGTAGCTGAACAGTCCCTGCATTGTCTTTCAATGCTGCTCTTGTTGAAATAGATTAGTTCTTGCTCGAAACACAAATCAAGTTAATGCATTTCTTCAAATTTGCGCCTTTAATGAAAAGTACTTTATTCTACCCACACTTTTCAGTCGCGATAGCCGCAGGTGTTGATTCTGCAGTTCAGTTCCACCCCACTCGGTGCTGGGCAACTTGGCCAAATTAGCCGAGCCCTCCAATCAATAGTTATTCAAACTTTATTACCGTCAAATTACCCGTTGTAAGTACTTAGTTAACCGTGCCCAGTTGCCCATTGGCCATGGCTAGTTTGTGGCCCGTAGCCGGTGGCGTTGTCTTCGCTGCTTCGACGGTATTTATAGCCACCAAGCATGGCGAGCACTCTCGCTGCTGCCCTTGCTGAAGTTCAAGCTGGTTAGCTAAATTGAGCACTTTAACAGAATTTTTCGCATGAAATGAATTAGTCTTTGTTTATTGGTAAAGTTTTGCTGGGCCCTTTTATTATAATTAGGTGTATATTAGGGAGTGCGCTGTTATTGTTACGTTGTTCTTGTTGTTTTTGTTCTTCGTGGATATTGGCTGTTGCATGTTGTTTGAACTTTTGAACCCTTTTGATTAGCTCGTAAAGTTGATTAAAGTTTGCGTCGGTAAGGTCAGAAAAAATGGCAAATCTTCGAGTTTCTGCCACTTGAGCAGTTGGCACTTATAGCAAGCTGCTACCCCACATACACCCTCACTCATACAGACATACATATCCACAATCAGAGCCACACACACACACATGGACGCATAAATTCCCACAGCAAACGTTTAACAAGGCCAACGACAGTTACAAATATTTCCCACGCTCACATTTAACGCGGCCACAAAAACTTTTATGTTGGCGGAAAAAACTATGCACGAGCCAAATAGATATGTGCTCATACATTTGTACATAGAAATACAAATACACATACATACATAGTTACGTAGATAAAAGGCATACTTGTTGTTTATACACTTAAAGAATCAACTACAAGTAGAGGTGGAGAGAAAATTGAATGAAAATATCTGAACAATAATCCACTTAGGCAAAAATCACACAAACGTATGTAAGCCTTCTAATTGGGAAATATTATAATATTTTTGCATAAAATATATGGTAGTTGATTCCCTTCCCAACAAATGCATCGGAAAATTTTCTTGGCTGTTTGTCCTTGTCCTTGTCCGAACAATTATGTTATTCTTTTTTGCAATTTCAGTTCTTAAAAAAAAAAACAATTTTAAGATCTTAGCGAGCCTTCGGCTGCTCACATACCGGTCTACTAATTTCCATGATTGTTGATTTCCA